GAATAGACCGATAAATTTAAAACAAAGACCAGGACCGGACCGGACCGGACTGATACATCTTAACAAAAACCAGGACCGTACCGAATCAGATCGATAAAATAAAATTGAAATTCCGGGGTTCCCCCCTCAGGTTACGCCACTGACTTTTATTCATTACTAGTTTTATAACACGTACCTAATAATTAAGTATAATTTAAAAGCATTGGACATAATTATTATACTGTATAGAATTTATTAGACGATTAAATAATTTGAACTGAATCGTTTGTAGAATCTGCAGTGTAGATAGGTAATCATCGTGCAGTAAGTAGTGACTAGTGTAAACGGTCTAGGTAGTAGGTATCTACTAATTACTATAACTACTTATCTAATACCTAGGCGAATACGTGTTAGGGTAAATATATAAATACATAAAAATAAGGGAAAAAATAAGCAATACTTTTAATTAAATTACTAATTAAAAATTAGTATTTAATATTTAGTTAACTATTAATATTAAAAAAAAGTGAGATAATTATTTGAAAAAAAAAATAACATTTATATCTTTATTATTAAGTGATTATACCTTATTATCACAAAATTTAAAAATTAAAAGTAATGATTTTCATTTTTGGGAGTTAAAATGATTGTTTAAAAAAATAATGCCATCTACTATAATGCCACCAAGACAACTTCTGCGCTCTTCTATTACCCTACCGGTAACACTAAATGACCGTTCACTGCTTGCACTGGTTGCTGGAATGGCCAGAATTTGCTTCGCCAAAATAGACAAAAGTGGAAAAATGTGTTTTTGATTTTTCCAAAATTCCAAAATGTTATCGTCTTGAACTTCAAAGTATTTGTTTTTATAATCTTCAACCTCTTTTTTGTACTTAGGATAATTCTTTGATTGGTCTATATCATTCTCGTCATCTTCCCATTCCAAAAAGGTGGAGTTTCCTGAAGGATTTCTTGCTGGAATGTTGTTCATCTCTTGAAGATTATTATGTCTATTATCTTCTTCCAAATCGATTCGCAAAAGTTTCAACTCAACATTGCCAATAATACGAGCTTTATCAATTTCAGAAAACATTTTTAATGACTTGAATTTTGGGAATAAAAATACGGCTATTTCATGTTCTTGTGCTAGTTTGAATTTTGTGTCCATAAATTCTAATCCCCTTTTACCTAACTTTTGTAAAATGAAATTAATAGTAAGTTCTTCAGCATTACTATATATGTTTTCTTGTAGATTGGAATATGTTTGTAAATGTTTTTTAGTAGTTGTTGGTTTATTACAACTTTCTGAATAGTAGGGCGTTTATCGCCCTCAAGTTCATCTGATGCCTTCTTAAATGGTTCTAAAAACTGAGTGATTTTATTAAGTAATTTTGTATTTATATTCTGAATTCGATTGAAATTTTCTTCATGTATCTGTATTATTTGTGGAAGAGCATTTTGAACAGACTGCAACATTAAGAACCTAATATTCTACCTTGTCTCTACCTCTTGTACGAGACCTTTACTCAGTTCACCATTTTTACAGGTGCTTTTCATGAATCTTACCAATTGTTTGCATTCTATAAGTAGCGTTATAACAGGTTCAAGTGGCTTATTTCTGTTTTCTTTTTCTTGTTCCAAATACATATTTCATGTCAAACAAATTCCGTAATACTACGTTAAGTAAATGAGCGCTGCAATTAAGATGATTGATATTTCTTAATGCACTTAACATATTACTACCTTGATCTGTTACAAAAGCTATACTGGACATTAGATAATTAGAGGACTTATTTGCTGCATCAGAAATTTGAAAAAAAAAATTATTTAATAAACGTTTTATGTTTTCACCAGTTTTTGATTCGTTCATTGGAAATTGACCTGTATGAAGTAAACGATTATTCAATTCCCAATTATCATCGATATAATGAAGAGTTATTGACATACAATTCCTACGAAAGTTATCAGTCCATAAATCACAAGTCGATGCACAATATTTTTTTCAATGATAAAAAATAAATCTTTAAAAATATTATATCTTATTTTTTTTTGTTGTTGTTTCAATTTGTCGTGAAACGGTTGTTGGGTGCGGTAAAATATCGGTAATGTCAATTTTACCATAATTGGCACCCACATCCAATAAAAACTGTCCAAATTGTTTAAATCCTTCAACCTCAATAGAATACATAGGTTTTATATCTATAGAACAATATTTGACACATTTTTCAATAGTTTCATCCTTTTTTTTTTTTTATTAGCTTTTATAGTCCGTTGAGGACCTTCGCTGCTTCCACAATTTCTTGCCACTTCTCTCTATTTTCACTTCCTGCTAGTTCTGTCTCTGGTGCAATCTTTGCTAGGTCTGATTTTATAGTGTCCATCCATCTATGTCTGGGATGGCCTCTGGGTCTTCTACCATTGATTCTGCCCATCAGAACTTGCTTGCATATGCCATTCTCTCTCCATAAGTGCCCAGCCCATTCAAGTCTCTTGCTTCTAATGAATGCTTTTATATTTGGTTTTTGGAATAGCTGGTATATTTCCTCATTTGTTCTTATTCGATAATCTCCATTTTCGTAGATAGGACCATAGATTCGGCGGAGTATTTTCCTTTCGAAGATTAGCAGTTTCTCTTCATCTCCTTTTGTCACCGACCACGTTTCGCAGCCATACGCCAAGACTGGGCGTAAGTAGCTCAGATATAGGTTGATCTTTGATTTTTTAGATGGGAGTTTAGATTTAAATAGTTTCAATAATCCAAAAAAGCCTTTATTGGCTGCTGAGATTCTTAATTTTATTTCATTATGCATATTGTTGTTCTTATTTATGTTAGTACCTAAGTATTTGAAATCGTTTACCGCTTCGAAAGTGTACTCCCCGACACTTACATCAGCTACTATCTCATTTTTTCTGCTGACGACTACATATTTTGTTTTGTCTTGGTTAACTTTAAGGCCCATACATTTGGCAGCTTTAAGTAGATCGTCGGTTTTTGTGGTTACCTCGATGCGTGTATTTCCCATTACCACGATGTCGTCCGCATAAGCAAGTATAGAGTATTCCCCTAGTAATTCTATGTCTTGATATGCTGGCATTGTCCTTACCACTTTTTCAAGGGCTAAACTAAAAAGTAATGGCGACAAAGCATCGCCTTGCCTCAGGCCTGTGTTCACATCAAAACTTTCAGATAATTGATTTCGGAATTTGACTTTACACGCAGTGTTGGAATTACATTCCTTTATTAATCGGATTAATTTTGAAGGTATTTCAAATTCTTCTAAGGTTATCCATAATTTGTTTCTATTGATGCTGTCATAAGCTTGGCTAAAGTTAACAAAACATAAGTGCACTTCTTTTCCAAATTCATAATATTTTTCTAATGCTTGTCTAATCGTAAATATATGGTCAGTGGTAGATTTTCCTTTTATGAATCCAGTTTGATATTTTCCTATTATGTCTTTGGAATATATTTCCAGTCTACGTAATATTGCAGTGGAAAAAATTTTGTAGCAGGTATTTAATAGTGCTATCCCTCTATAGTTTTTTGTATCCATTGTATCGCCTTTTTTATATATTGGGCAAATTATTGCCATTTTCCAATCCTGAGGGATTTGTTCTTTTTTCCAGATTTCTTTGATTAAAGTACATATTTCCGAGAACATTTTTGGGGTCGAAATTTTAAATAGTTCAGCATTTATGTTGTCTTCACCAGGGGCCTTGTTGTTCTTTAGCATTTTTATAATTAGTTTAATCTCTTCTTCATCTGGTTCAGTGATCTCTGGCTGTACTGTATAGCGAAGCGGGTGGACCTCTTCCGGAACGTTATTGTCTTGATTTATATTTAATAGATCTTTAAAGTAAATTCGAAACTTCTTTGCAATATTCGCTTCATCTGTAATAAGGTGTCCACAATCATCTTTCAGCATAGTGAGTTGAGCATTGAAACCTTTCTTTATAGAATTACATTTTTTGAAGAACCTTCTAGGGTTTAGCCTGTGTTCCTCGATACTACTTACGAATTCTTTTTCAGCCTTTCTCTTCTCTCTTCTAATAATTTTATTAGCTCGGTTTCTAAGTGTTAAAAATTCTTCTTGGCTTTCCGGTGTTGGATTCTGTATAGCTTTACTTCTGGCTTCGCTTCTTTTTTTGATTGCATCCTTGCATACGTCATTGAACCATGAGTTTTTTGGTTTTCGAATGTTTTCTTTAAAGATTTCAGCGGCCCTGTTAACTGTTTCCTTAATTTCTTTCCATTTGTTTTCTATATTCTTGCTTAAGCTAGTGGGTTCGTTTTTTAGTAGATTATTTGTTAGCAATTGGAAATTTCTTCTAGTTTCAGGGTCTCTGAATTTTTCTGTATCCAGTTTTGGCTTACTTTTCATCCTTTTGTTCCATACTCTTGATAGTTTTACTTTAAAACATGCTGTCACGAGATAGTGGTCCGTATCCCCATCAGCTCCTCGACAGCTTCTTACTTGTGTTATACAGTTTCTGTGTCTTCTATTAATTAATATATGGTCGATTTGACTTTTAAACCTTCCACCTGGGGAGGTCCAGGTATGTTTATGTATTTCTTTTCGTTGGAACTGGGTGCTGCTAATTATTAGGTCTTTTGATGCAGCGAAACTAATTAATCTTATTCCATTACTATTGCTCTCTAGGTGTAGACTTTCCTTTCCCGCTGTTCTTTGGAAAATCTCTTCCCGGCCGACTTGGGCATTTAGATCTCCGACTATGATCGTTATACAATTCTTGGGAAGTTTGTCGAAAGTTCTTTCTAATAAGTCGTAAAAGTCGTCCTTTGCGTTGCTTTCAGCCGACTCCGTTGGGGCATAGCAATTGACGAAAACGACATCCAGAAATTTTCCCGAGATTTGCAAGTAGCATATTCTATCACTGATTGGTTCGAATTTTTTAACCGAATCTACCATTGAATTTTTTACGATGAAGCCAACTCCATTTTCATGTTTTTGATTTTTTGTTCCACTATAGAAGATTGTAGAATTCCCTGATTTTAAAATGCCATTACCTGGCCATCTTATTTCTTGTAGAGCAGTTATCTCTGTTCTGTAATTATTAGTTATCTGTATTATATTATGCAGTGCTCCAGGTTTATAGAGGGTTCGTATATTCCATGTTCCGAATCTCAAGACTCCAGATTTGCCGGGCCATGTTCCATTTCTTTTATCCAAGTTAATCATAGAGTTCCGAGGCTTGTTATTGTGAAGTTTCTTAACGAAATTTTTTTTTTACAATGTGGGGTTGTCAGCCCCACGATCAACCTTTATGCCTTAAAGGAGGAGCTCGGGGCCCCGGGTTTGCTAAGCCCGTAGTACTGATTAAAGTACCCCCCTGTACTTTATAATAATAGTTTAATAGTTTCATCCTTAAGTTTTTTTTTGGTATATCTTTTTTTTTCTTATTCATGATTTCAAAATATGCATCGATTTTCTCTTTTGATCCTATTCCTAAATTACATCTATGTCTGGAAAGTGTAGCAGTAGATGAGTTTTGACCGTATAGATCCTTACAAATAATACAAGCAATAAATCCTGTAGAAATGTGTTCTGGGGAATCAGGATCATCTATATTTTCTACGACACTCAGAACCTTTTTTAAACTTTTTCCAAACTTCACTTTTTCCTTCTTGGGGTACTAAAGTATATTCTCCAGTATCACTCATTAATTTTCGTTTGATCGAACTTTTACATGCGATTTTTGTTGTGGATGTAGTAGAAAGTGGATTAATTTGGACTGGAGAATTTGAAGCTGAAGTAAATACAGTATTGGTGGATTCATTATTTAAGGTGGATGTTATACTAAATTGACTAGACGTTTCAAGGGAACTTATGGAATTTATAAAATTCGAATCCAAAAAAATCACGAATATTTTGTGAATCATCCATTATTCTAAAATAGTAAAATTAAAAATATTTAATTCTAATTTCATTAAAATTGTCATTATAATAAATAGGAATATTTAAATAGAATAATTTCAATATATTATGGAATGATGGATACTTAATAGGTTAAGTATTTATAAAACCTTAATAGGTACTTATTAAATTAGCTTAGCGTAATTCAAAGTAATTCAATATTAACACATTGGAGACGGACATAGGTTTTATTGTTAAAACGTAGCAGACGATGGACTCGTTTAACAAGTCCATTAAAATTAATCTATTAGACGAACATCGGTAATGCAGTATTAACGTACGATACGAATGACTCGCCTGACAAGTATCCGCATGTATAGTTATAATGGACGAAGGACTTGTTTAAGAAGTCTTTGGGAGTTAAATATTGATATAAAATTGAAATTTTCTCCAAAGAGCTTAGTTATTATTTGAATTGATATAAGGTGTAATAATGTTAATTAGATATTATCATGGCGGCATTATGTTCTACCCATGCATTTGTATAAACCGCAACTCTCAGAGCGCAGGCCAACAAGCCGATTAGTACTGGAACGGCCGTGCATGTTCATCGTAGTGTCATGCTCGCCTGTTTGAATCAAATAAAATAAATACTTTCGTAATGTATTACGTAAATATATTTATTTGTATTATTGTGTGTTCATACATATTTTTATTTTATCTGTTTATAAAAGTATTTAATAATATTTATTCTAAGCAGCATAAACTAGA